TCCCAGTCCCCAGAATTGATGGCTGGGACAATTTTGGGAAAGTATTGAGTTGCTTATCCCAGTTCAGCCATCTATAAAATTGAAATGATAATAGCATCACAGAATTGGTGCTTAGGCAAATAAATTTGAATTATAGAATACAGCCATAATATAATGTATTAAGACTGCAGCCACAATTAATTAGTGTCAGGTGCCTTAAACTCTGAGTTCTGATGGGAGTGAACTGGAAGCGGAGGTCAAACTGAGTTCCCTGCTTGCCATTCTGGTCCTTTTTGTAGATTTCCACGATCATCCTTTCCATGACTACTTATCACTACTTATTTCTATCTGCACTGTTAGGCTTTGCAATGAAGCACTGGGAAGTCTACCAATGCACCTTGTCCAAGGCCTCATCAAACTTAGCGCTGGTACTAGTTCTTAGTTATCCCTCCTTACCAGCCCAAGGCAGTGATGTTACATTTTACTATAAAATGAAGCGTGAAAGCCATTCTCTGCCCCTGTTGTTGTTTTTCTATTATTATATCTATATCAGAAATTATATATGGGAGGTTTTCCCTGCTGGTAGACTTAAATGAATTTTCAACTGATATGAATGAACTGAAATTACCATATTTATTTGTCACTAACTGTAAGGATATCATATTTCAAAGTGTGCAATATTTCTTATGTTTTTAATTTGCCTAATAACAAATATGTTCTTGACTGAATATGATGTTTGCATTGAAAGGTATTTGTATACAGCAGCAAACAAGGGAAGAGAAGCAGCAAATACTCAAATTTTATGTTAATTCTTTAAAAGGCAGTAGTATCCACATCCCTAATACTGTACTGTTTCAAGCAACTGTTTTATCTCAACTGATTGCATTAACAGATGCAAGAAGGAAATCAAGCAGATGACATGCATTTTAACGTTCCAAAGGTCTTCAAATTTTATATGAAGTATGAATATTATTTCATATTCTATAAAGCATGGTGGCTCCTAGCACTCAGCTGAAGGCAACAGGAACCCCTTGCAGATTCATCATAGAAAGGCTAGAGCTGGCATTCACAGCCTTGACCCTCTTTTTAATCAAAGTGAACCCTATTCAAGTGAAACATCTAGAAAATTACACAATTGTATGTGGTACTGATCTGAAAGATAGTATTATTTTGTTACCTCTGGTGGGATGATCTATCATTTAAAATCTATAGAAATCTAGTTAACATACTCATGTTGTACTGGTGGTTAATTTTATTTTGATAGTCCAACATGAACAAAAAATGATTATGTTGATAAAATCACAGCACTCCACACATCTAATACAAACACTTTTCTCCCATGCATAATCCAACGGCAAGCCCAGGTGTACATTCCATTAAGATTATTCTATAATATTATCTTTCCATAAAAGTAACGGGTCCTGTGAGCTGAGCTAGCTTGATGCCTGTTGAGTATGGACCTTTCAACATAATTTTCTTGATAACAAGAAGTACATTGCTTAAAAGCAAATAAAAATAAATATTGTCCCATATTTTGTACTTTAAAATGCTTTGATTCAACCACCTAATTCAATATATCATTTTGTATAATGTGTGTTACCTACAAAGCTTATATAACAATTGCTTATGTAAGTTATAGTGATTGATTGAAGAGTAGTTGGTTTAAAAAAGCAGTTATTTTCTTATAATTATATTTGCCTTGTAAACATGCCCAGTTTTCAATTGTGCAAGCTAATTTAGCCACCCAGATTCTAAAGCATCGCAGGCAGCAAAGTGAGAGTCTTATTTAGCAGTTAGACAGCTGATAGATCTAAAGATCAAGAGAGAAAAAGTTAAGCCAAATAATTTAAATACTAAAATGTACAGTCTGCCAATTTTACAAGTGAAGGAAAACTGTTTTCTATGTCCCCTGAGTACTCAGGTTATCAGTGACCCCATCAAGACCAAGCCATATTATAAGCAAGGAATTAACTCTAATTAATTGAGCTACACTGCTGTTGCCTAAAATAGATGATTAGTATCCGGCTTATTGACAGATACATTTCTGAACAGCTAGCTATTTTAATATTACTGATGTTATTAAGAAGTAAACACCATCAGCATAACTGCAGCCTTCGCCATTATCCTATATTTATAATGATCACTAGTCATCACCATTTATAAATATCAAGGTCAAACCACATGGCAAATCCAAACCAGAGAGCTGACAAAGCTGATTCAGTCTGCATTCAGTTCACAGTCACATCAGATCTTGTGCCAACCTGCTAATAAAATTAGGCTATTTGGAGAAACCTTGTTTTGTACACACTGCCACTACTGTCATGAATTTTGGAAAGCCCTCTTCCTGTCAACACAATCAAGGATGAAGTCCTACTCCAAATGAACAAACTGCATTTTGTAGGCACTAAGCTCCATAGTGCTAAGTATTTATATATGCTGGAAAAGGCTTGGACCCCTTGCATACTGTAACTTGCATCCTTTTCTATGAGCCAACTACTGCTGTAGCTTTTGAGGCTTGGATTTTGTTTAGAAAATTATTTTGGATGATGCAAGGAAAAGGATAGTACTAGGGGGAATTAATAGTGAATATTTACCATAAAAACGTGAAGGACATGTAGGAATATAATTAAGCACAAATATAGAAGCACAGCCGTTCATAAATACAGTCAATACAGTACTATCTATGTATGGATTCATGCATCATATGATACTAGAGTTGAATTACATTTCTACAGCCTAAAAACAATGACAGAATGCCAGAGATGGCATTATAGATAAATGAATACATATTTGGAAAGAGCATCATTGGAGTGCAAAAGATGTATGATACAGTTAGATTGTTAAACTTTTCCTGTTATGGGAATTTCCCTAAATAATACCACCCACAAGATTAATATAATTTTTTTTTAAAAAAAAAACATTTTATCTTAGTTCATATATTAAGTATTTTTCCATTAAATATACAGATCAGTTAGGAAAGACAGAGCCAAAATGATTAGATAAGAGATTCATATTATTTATCCAGAGCTTAAACTTCTAACCATACTCTCCTTTTGATCATTATAAACTTTAAAATATTTAGAACTTTCTGGGCCAAATAAAACATAACTTGAATTACTTAATTTATCTATCTGTGACACAGAGATTTTCCAGACTTAAACTGTTTTCAGAAACACTTCCCTATCAAAGAAAACAACACCATTTCACTGAGAACTTTGTTTTACAAGTGCAAATGTTAGGAAATCTTTTCTGATAGCAATTGTAGATCTGATTTGCTTTATCTTATTTCCACTTCTTCTTGACCCCTCTTTCCTTCACTTTATCTCTTGTTTATTTGCAAAATTTATTTACAAATTTTGCAAAAATTATTTGCAAATAAGTCTAATCCAGTTTAGTTTGTCATTTACAGACAAGCATGCATAGAATCACAGCTGGTAAGTTCTTTGAACTTTAACACTATATAGGCAGCAAGCCTAATCACATTTACTTGAAAGTGTCACTGCGTTCAATGACAATTACGTCTGGATAAACCTAATTAGGACTCATACTACTGATTACTTTTTTCCTTAAATTAAAGCCAACATTACCTTGGCCTAAAAGAGAGCCAGTGTAACCAGGAAAGTAGTTAGGTTGTTGGACTAGGAATGGGAAGACACAGGTTGTAACCAATCTCAGCCATAGAAGTTCACTAGACATCTTTGTGCCAGACACACTCTCTGAACCCAACCTACCTCACAGTGTTGCTGTTGTGGGAAAAATAGGAGGAAGGAACACTATGCATGTTCCCTTGAACTACTGTAAAATAGGTGGAATATAAATCTGCATTCCTAATTGCTTTTTATCTCAAAAGGAGTTGAACTATAATCAACAGAGCCAAATTATATGTGACTGTGGCAGACCTGAATCTTTAACATGGGTCTTCCCCATTCAAATGCAAAGCAACAAATAGTAGGGCAGTTTAAAAAGCCAAGGAACAAGTTAGCAGAGAGAAAATACAGCTGTCTTCACTGCCAAGAACACACACCAGACTGATTTCCAATGCCTCTACTACCAATATCACAGCCCAGCAACAGTGGGATTATGGGGCCAAATGCTAGAATAGGAATATGTGTGAGTAGGTTCAGGACACCTCTCCTCACCTGCTCCTTTAGCCTGCTCAGGCACATCACCCAAACTTGCTGCTATACATGGAACTACAGCAGATCCTCCTTTGAAAGTACAAGACTGATCGTGTTGTTTGTAGCATAAGAACTGGTACTCAACATCCTACTTTCTCTGATACATTAAGTAGGATTTCTACACAAAGCTTTAAGTACACTGATGGAAGAGATGTGGAATAAATCACCTGGGAACTAGCAAACTAATAAAAATATACCTTAACCATCAAGCACTTAAAATCTAGACAATTATCAAATATTCTCAACCCAATCTATGATGATTTTGCAAGAGGAAGTGCATCTCCTCCTTTATTTACAGCTGTCTCCAAAACCTATGGCTTTTAAAGTAATACCACATTCAACTGTACTGACAAACATGAAGCTTGTGGCACCTCTAAAACTAACAGACTGATCAAGACTTAAGCGTCCATAAGCTCGAGTCCACTCTATTAGGTGTGCAAAGATATGCCACTGGTGAAAATTTCAAAGAAGTGTTTAATAGCAATGAAATCCCAAAAGGGTCTTCTGAGACCTGAAAGCAAAGTATCCATGGACAACAGAGACTATAATAACACAACATTGCTAAGGTCATAAAACAGCTGCTCTGGAGGTCTCTCAACCCTTATTAGTCTGATCTACAGAGTGCAAATAAACTGCACTTATGCTTATTAACTATCAGTACAGGTGTTTACACCTGTCCTCTGAAACAAGTGTGCTTTGCTGCCAAAGTAACTTCATCAGGTCTTCATGAGCAGTTTGCAAAGTACTTTTCTGCAGAAGTTGATGCTCCTTTGAGAACCCAGTCATGAACTAGGCCTGAGAAATGCACTCTGGCAAGGGAAGAAAAAATGGCTCTTCTATTACCTGAATGAAGCCCCACATGGGGTGGAGTGTCCAATGTAGCAGCAAAGGAGGCCAGCAGCACTGAAGGAAGAGCAGGACTTCTCGGATTAGCATCATGGCTCTGGAGGAAATGGGAGTTCCTTCTCACAAACTGGGTAACTGGAGAAAGAAATCAGATAGCAATGGTGCTTTACTGCACTCCATTCCCACCATACATGGTGCCTCTGCCTGCCTCCTTCCCCCCACATTGCAAACTGAAATTGATATGGTCAGTGGAAGAGGGGGTAAGTAGCCTGTTTCTCCAAAGAAAGTAATGGTGAGAGCACGCCTCTAACTTCATAGGTTTTGGAGAGGATAAAATATTTAAAAGAAACGGGATAAACATACATGGTTTTGGTGGTACACTTGTTCTGTGATGGGAAAGCCTTCATTCAAAATGAAACTTCCCATTAAGCAGCACGCTTCCTCTTCCACCACCTGTATATTATTCAGCAAAACTGCTACCCAGTAGAACTATGTATTACGCAAACAGGAGCTTCCTTCCACCTAGCCCCAGTTTAGGATCGTTGGCAACTGACGCGATCCTCAAGGAGTCAGAAGAGAGTTGATGGTGCAGGAGGAGGAACGCCAGCTATTCAGCCAAGACGGAACCCAGTTTTCTGCTTCTACTGCGGCGGCTGCAGTTTAAGCGTTCTCAAATTAATAAATGACATTTTAAAAAATCCCCTTACCCTGGAGAGCGGAATGGTCCGCGTCGCGATAGAGAGAGGCCGTCGCTGCGCTTCCTTTTACATAGTGGAGCACATCTGCGGCCGGTGGGAGGAGAGGGAAAGACAGCTTTTAACAAAGTTTGCAAGGAAAGCTGATCTTTTCAACACAGCAGATCCGACCGAAGTTCCCCTTTTGCTGCTCCACCACCACCTAGCGCCGACAGAGTCCGTTCACAGGGGGGGGAGGGGAAAACTCTTTCCTTGGAAGAGAGGTGTCCCCCTCGCACGAAACGCGTGGCTCTGATATTGATGGAAAGCCAGTCTTCTTGTACGTATCCGAGACGGGGCAGGTGAGGGGGCAGAAAAGCTGGATCAGGAGAGAAATCCAAGGTTCAACCGCTTGCGAACGAGCCCCCACCCCCCGCTCCTGGCGGCTGGAGGCAGGACAACACGCGAGATCCAAGTCCCGACTCCTCTTGGCTCGCTGTTTTTTTTTTCCTTTTTCCTTTCTCTTTGCAACGACTACAGAGAAACGGATATCTGGAGGGAAAAAGTGTCACGGAAGGCGCCTTGCGAAAATCAACTCCTCCCCGGCCGCGAAAAGGGAGAAAGAGAGAAGAAGCGCTCCAGATCTCCTTCCTCTCGTAAGTAGTAGGATTGTTTGCTCCACTCTAGTAGCACAGATCGCTGTTTCGGATCCTCAGCTGTCCATCATCCTGCAGCGCCTGGAAGCAGCGGCCGGAGAGAGGGAACTCACGGGATGGACCGGGGGAGGAGGACCCCTCGGCTGGAGAGGAGCAGAGGCGTTGGACATGCAGATGGGCGGGCGGAGGAGGAGCGGGAAGAGGCTGCCAGTGAAGCCGGAGGCTTCCCTTCTCCCCTGCCTGCGAATGTAATCTCTCCCGTGCCTGGTGCGCTGCCGTTTCTGCAGCGATTTTTCATACCCATCTAGCAAGTCCGTTATGGATTTGGCACTTGGCTCCGTCGAGCGTGTTGCTGCTGAATTTGTGTGGGTATTTTGCTTTCCTCCGTGAACGAAAAGAAACCCCAGAGCTCGGATAGAAAACTAAAGCGCTTTCATGCTGCTTCTTAGGGAGCTCTCCAGACACACGATACACACACCCCTTTTCTTGCATGCTGCTGGAGGCAAATCATAGCTACTACAGTCAGAGGCTAGGCGGCACTCTGGAAGGGAAAGCTGCACTTGGATGGTAGGTAGTTGGGCGTCTGGCTCAGAATTGAGTGGCATTAACTCTCAGGGTCTGGGATATCGTTTTTCGCTTCAACTGCTCTCTTATCCTAAACCAATCAACCAACCAACCTTGTGACAGAGGTCAAAGCTACCCTTTAGCTATGGCTCTTCCAAAGTTGAAATAGGTTCACCAATAGCCTTGTGCTTCTAAAAGTGGAGAAACAATAACCTTAGAGTGCTACCCTATCCCTAAACCTATGTCTTTGCATCCTCCTGTGATGGTACACTGCACTTGTTCCTGGAGGTTCTGTATAGCTATTAGGATTGTATGACCTTTGTTCTCTATAATCTAATATTTTATTCTATTTTTTTGCCATTGCACCCTCTCATTTCTTACTGCAATAATCATTTTGGTAGGGGGGAGAGAGGATGCATTTGGGATAGAAAAGCCAGCTGTGATTCTACAGAGAAGAAAGGAGGCAAGTTGGGCAACAGATAAGGTGCCAGAGACAGGCTATGAAACACAATTTGTCAAAGCTGTATTTATCATCCAACCTTTTCCCTTTCTGGAAAAAAAGCTGAACCTTTGTTTTCAATCAAGACATTTGAGAAAATATTCCAATAATTTCTATTTTTACCACTTTTTAATTGTTTACATTTTATTTTAGACTGTTGGCTATTTTAAATGCCCCTGGTAGAAATAATAAGATAATGATACACAGTCTGCACATCATTGAAGACTGCTCCAACAGATGGAGCACCTGTCTGGCCTTGGAAGCTAGTCTGGTTAACAGTTTGACAGGAGTCTGGGTCTGTAGGATGGCCCAGGAAGTGAAAAAAAACAAAACAAAACAGGGAGAAGCTAAATGGCAAACCACAACCATACTCTTATCAAAATAACAGCATGGCCATGAAGCCATTAGAAGTCAGGCTCACCTTGATATTGCCTATAACGGAGGACTTCTGAGCAACTTGCAGTCAAATAGCTAGAATGTCTGATTCCCAGCTGGGGGTAGCCCAAGACATTTTTACTGCCAGAAGCAAAACAAAATGTAGCACTCTTTGCCCTTCATGAACAGAATCTGACCAGCCTGCCAATTCTCTGACTTCCAGCACTGGCAACACAATGCCATAATGTCCTCCATGACATGTGGGGGCAGCAAGCTCTCATAGATAGCTCTGCCTTCCTTCGTTTCACCAATGTTCTTTACCCTTCAACATCAGTCTCACTCTGTTCAATGGCTGGGCCTTTCCTAACCAATTAATTAACAAAAACAACACTACTATGACTATTGTTCTCGATTATGCTAAAGAAATGCTCTATCTCCTTACTAAATTAAAAATGAAGCTTCTGATTGCCCCAATTCCCTCCACCACTCCCCACCATCTGTTGCAGCTGTCTTTGTTTCTATTAATCACTTATTTTATAGGGATATTGTTATAGAGATTGTCTGCCTGAGACATTATAGAAATTTACTGTTGTTAAAAATGTGTTTTCCATGCAGCATGGATGGGGATTGGTAGATTTAGACTAGAGGCTGGCATTAGACAGTCTCATCAACCCACTTGTAATACTAATTGGCAATGGAGGCAGGCAAGTCATGAGGGGATAGGAGCAGTGGACCCAGCTTGTATTGGCTTGTAACAGTCGATTGTTAAATTTTGGGGAATTTTGCGAGCTGGCTGACAGCAGAGTTAAGCTACCAAACTTGGGGCACTGATCAGTTATTCTGTGGCTGCTAGTGTGTCGACAATGGTGCCAGTTCTTAAACATTTACCAGCACACCGCTGGATTGGAGGGTCATGAGTAAGGAGGACTACAGCTTGCCCATCCTTGACATACATTCTATGTACAAGGATGGTATAAAGGACTCCCACACTCCTTTAGCTGAGAGAATTGAGTCCAAGATAGCTAAAGAAGAGATATTTTTTCCTCTGGAGCACAAAGCAAGTGATATAGATTGCAAATCTCTTGAATTTGCCACCTGTACCGCCATTGCAAAATATTTCATTTCTGATGAAAACACAGTAAAATGGAGCCATAGCAGACCTCGCATTAATCACTTATTAACCCTGAAGCTTATTTTTCCTTCATTGTTTCATTACAACATCAAAAAGATTGAAAATCTCAGAGCTTTATCACAGGGCACTGAATTAACCGTCATGGAAACAATTTGAAAAGCACAATGGCTTTTAATCACAATATTATGTGATTTTCCCATAATGTAATTCAGTTTTACCCCACCAGTTGCCTTCCAGAAACTTTGGACCATAGCTTCCATCTTCTCTAGCCAGCATGGTAATTGGCAAAGGATTATGAGATGTGTAGTGAAACATTGTAAAAAAAACATGCTGGGAAATGCTGATAGAAATAATTAGCAGCCAACCTGCAACTTCCACTCTGCGGTCCAGAAACCAACCACAGGCAATAGAACTTTGGGACATCCAAGAATAAGAGGGCCTATTGTGCCTAGTTGTGAATTATATTGCCTGCCTCTCTGGGGTGAGTAAAATGCAGTAAATCCTGGCTCAGCTGTCTAGCGAACAACTCACTCCAAGCTGTCCAACATGCTCCCTTTTCCTCCTTTCTAGGGATGGTGGGGAGTGGGATCATGGTTCCTTCACTTCTTGGGTGAAAAAAAAAGGTTTTCTTTGATATTTGAATAAAGCATTAGCCTCAGGCAGCTATTTGTAGGCATTATGAAACAGCAGCATATTTTTGGTTACCCAATTTATTATTGCCATTTGACTGGGATGGGAGAAAGTTGCTCATAGACAAAGTGGCTTTGGGGAGGAGGGACCTTGTAGAGGTGAGTTCTTTGCTACTTCACTTCAGGCAGCAGGTAGCCTTGCTTTGCTCTCAGCTGGCTCAGCCAGTCAATAGTTCACTCAGTTACCAACACCTAAGGAATGAAACAGAGAGCAAATAGTACCCTAATGAGAGTTAGACATTTCAGATGGCAGGGATTATGCCATAACTAAGCTATTGTTGGAACACTTGCAAAGAGCACTTCGTTATTCTGTAAGACTCAAGGTAAGAAAGCATATCAACTGCTCTGGGCTTTTTGAAAATATTACAGTATAAAAAATGAATAAAGCTTGTGGATCTTTCTGGTTCAAAAGAAGTAAAAACCATATAAAAATACTGAACACAACAAAACAAGAACAGCTTATATAGGTAGTGGATACACACTAGATTGGCGCTATCTGATGCTCTGGATGTGGCGTGGGCTATTTGCCAAAGTTTTTTTCTTCTTCCTTTCCTTTTCTCTGTCTGTATTCTGAAAAGATACTTTGTGATTTTCATCTGTACTGCAGTTTTGTAATAATGAAAACACTGGGAGCCTTTAACAGAGCTTGCAAGAAAGCAAACAGAAGTCTTCTATTGTTAAAGGGTTACCACAGTCATACTCATTAAGAACATAGAAGCAAAGCAATTGGAGAAAATGAAAACAAACTGAGTTTTTAGCCAGCAGAGTAATGAGCAAATTGCAAAGACAATTGCCTTGTGAGAATGGGAGCTAAGGTTATGTAAGTCACATTTATCTCATGGTATATATTACTAACAAACAATGAGTCACAATTTCATGTCATTTGCTCTGTACATATTAAACATAAGGACTTGAAAGTAAGTCCCACTGTATTAATAGGATTTAATCCTTGCAATCTGTGTAGGAGTGCAGCTTCAGTCAAATCATCTCAAATTTAAAACTGATATGAGGTTGATTTAGCTTCCCAGAACTATCTGGCTGGTTAATGTATTATATGAAATCCTTGGTTGACCAAAACCATGAGGTGATGAAGGTCATTGTTTATGGCCTCATGTCTGGTGAAAACATGGTACATGGAAGATTATGAGTTGGAATATAAGAGGAGTAAGTAAATGGTACAGAGAATGAAATGAAATGAAGAAAAGAGGTGCTAATAGAAAGGGGAAAAATATAAGATATCTGAATAAAGTGGTCCAAACTTGTGGAGTAGATATACAGAAATTAAGGAATACATTTAATTATGAATAAAAGAGCTAAAATGTATTGATAATGCTTGCATGTTGCACACTAGGGAATGTTGATAATAAAAGAATCAGATTTGACTTTGGTGTGTGTTGGGGGGAGGTGAGATTGTGCAATATTCTGAATGAATGTGATCTGGAGAAAGACTACTCTGTTAGGTGATAATGAATGAATGGTGGGAATAAGACGAGGGTACGGAAAAAGTGATATTTGGAGCACCAAGAATGAATCAGCATGGAGATTCTTTGTTGACAATCTGCTTTTAAAAAATCTGTTTCAAATCCATGGTTTAAGCATACATCTATTCATACATATACATAGAAAACATATAATAAAAATAATGATTATTTATGATGAAAGATTGAGAGAAGTAGCAAAGGATACAAGGTTGATGAGAAGTTCTCAGTGTGTACAACTTTTGGTAGTGCCAAAAGTGGATCTTGGAAAAAGGGGCATGGAAGAAAAGAAAAATAGCAAAATAAATTAAAAGTAGAATAACTGCAAGGAGGGCGACT